AAATCCGACCATCCCAGCGTCGAAATGGCGAACTTTTGACAAAGAATTTCGTTTTTCTTCAGTAACTCCTAAATCGTTGGTCCTACGGGAAAATTACATAAGACCTTTCTTGTAGAGGACGACGAGATCTACAATTTCCATGTAAAAATTTTTCGCTAGCGTCAATAGTTAATGAGTAATTTGCAAAAAACTGTTTTTTCGTTTTTCGTCAATAACTCGTAAACTATTAATGCTAGCGACAAACTTTTATATGGAAATTGTAGATCTCGTCGTCCTCTACAAGAAAGGTCTTATGTAATTTTCCCGTAGGACCAACGATTTAGGAGTTACTGAAGAAAAACGAAATTCTTTGTCAAAAGTTCGCCATTTCGACGCTGGGATGGTCGGATTTTGTCAACATCAATAAAATGCCAAATAATCATACGTAACTCGTTAAATATCGAAATTAGAAGAAGAATGTACTATTTTTAATTATAGGAAATGCGTTTTTCTAAGGTACATAAACTTTTGGGATTGATTGTATAGCCAATACATCCTTAAGCAAATGAATCTACCTTTCACGCGCATGATACTTAGCAGCTGAGAAGAGTATACAGAAAGGGCCTGTACTCTTCCCGTTACGTAAGCAACTTCGAGCAGAGAAACTTTTTCTACAAATCAATTTGAGCTCGTAAAACCTACGCGCGTTCAGTTTCACCGATGTTCTAATTGAGAACGGTGCCACGTAACGATACTGGGAACCACGGTAAGAATAAAGACGGTAAACGGTACGAAAATGGGCAAACAAGATACGCCGCCCCACGCGTTTTCATTCGACGCTCATTGTCAGCGATGACTGGCAGATAGGGATGTTCTCTAGCTGTCTAAGGGTACGGCACGGGACAAACGATGGTCATTGCGACGTCGAGCGCGATGACGATGAGAAACGGACAGGATCTTGGCATCCACTTCTAGTGAACCCGAGATTTTGGAATACGCTCTTTGCTATTGACACCGACTCTTTTATTTGCAATGCTAATTAGTAGATTTTCGAAAATACTCATTATTTGGAAAATTTCTATTCTTTAATGTGACAGAAGTACAATGCAACGATGCATATCAGAAATCTTATTCTTTAACGAGTGGAGTAAAAGGTTCTTTCTTTATCTGTATCTGGAGAGCAAAGCTTGTTTTCTGAAAGAGCTGACGTGAACGAAATCTCGGTCTGGTTCTACCGTTTGCTTTCATTTAATGCGGATGTTTTCCACGGCGACGGAAAAGTCGCGGGCGCGTAAACAGTGATATCTAACATTTATCAGGTGACACCGGTCGTTCCGACCTCGTCAAGATTCATTTGCGGGGGCGCAGGATGCGCAGGGAGCATTACCGTGTCGTGACGTCAAATACTAACGCAGGAGAAGCGAGTGGTGTCATTACCGGACCTCATACCGGGCCATCGCATCTGGCCACCGCACTACACCCCCTCGTATTTCTCCGTTGCGGAACACAGAACACCGAGCGACGTAAACAGGTTGATAGATCTTGATGGAACACCAAGGCTCTCGGCCAACGGACTCTATGCTAAATACTGCCGTTGCAATTAGACACCCGGCATAATTCAATTACGCCGGATATAAACGCGAAGGCGGCTTCGAATGGGACGGAAATGCTGATGGATTTCGATCGTGGTCTTTTTCAAAAGTTCATAGAAATACATTGCTAAATGTATTCTATGACGATTATTAAAATTATGATTATGAAAATTATAATTAAAATTATGACGGGCTGGGCGTAATTTTGAATGGAATATTGTTTATGTAAATCGACAAACGTGGACAAATGAACTTACCGTCGAGGCTCAGTCGAATCGAATTCCTAAGTCCCTTACTCGCCGGCCATCTAAGTCACGTGCAGCAGTCGGAAGATTCGTTCGTACTTGCATGAGGGGGATAAGAAGGGTGGATTCAAGACCTAAACATAAAAAAGAAAGTTTATGAACACGAATTCCTACATAATACTTCGTTCAAATAATATTTGAATAACCCTTTAAAGATACGTAAGTAGTCGAGAGAGGAACAAGTCAGACATAAAAAATTCAACCCTAACCGTATCTTCATTAAATCGTTTCCACCTGATCGTTGATTTACTCTTCAAGAAGAATATATACGAGTAGAAGAATCGTGGTTGCTGCCCGAGTGGCGATCGTTCAGGAACGCGCCAAGAGGGAAGACGAGGAGGAGCGAAAGTGGTAGAGGAGAAAAAGAGCGAAGATGGAAAGAAGAAAGAAAAGAAGGAAACGAGAGTGTCTGGTAAGGAGGATGAGGGACCGAAGGAGTAGGAGGATGGCGTTGGCTCCGGGGGGTGGGTGAGGAGGGGGGGGGGGCTAAGACGTTGTCCTGCCAACAGGTGGTAGCAACCTCACACTACCGGAGCCGGTGCTCTGCCTCGGCACGGAAGCTCAACCCCTTTTTCACCCTCCGTGGCAGCAACCACGACGATAACCCGCGGCGACACCCGATAAAACGGGCCGTAGAGAGGGTTGGAGGTCTTCTACGATGCCGGGATAAGTGGGCCGTGGTCGGGGAACGGAAAAGAAAAACACCGGAGGGATTATCGGCCGTGGATACACCACCTCACCTCTCTTTCTCCTCTCCGTTTCTCCCTCGGCGAGGAGACGCGACGCCACGCCGCACCGCCGCCCCTTTAACGAAAGAAACTTGCTCTTTGCTGGCAGCAGCACGTGCGCCTCGCCTCGCCTCACCTCGTTGCGAAACGACGACGCTCTGCTTACGATTCTCGACCAGGACTCCCTCTCTTTTTCACTACGGACCGCGTGCTTCCACAACCGGGACCTGCTCGAGTAGCCTGTATTTTGCGAGCCGAGGATTTTGCGGTGTCCCCGGGGAAAGGACAAACCCCTCTATGTACTTTCTACCTCCAACCCCTCGTTCGTTCAAGGCGTGCAGTCACGTCGCGACGCTTGGCCACAGGGAATTATTACTCGCAGCGCAGTTTCCACGAACCGGCTCGAGTCGTCGCGACGACGTCACTAACTGATTTTCCGGATTTCACTGTGTTTTCATATTAAGGCCAATTTTTTTAGAAAAAGTAATTGTATAAATATGTCGTTCAATGTCATCATGAAAGGGAGATACTTTTCTAGATTTCAAAGATATCTTTAATAATATTGTCCTCCAACCCTCTGTATCGCGGTAATTTTAACGAAGACGCCATTAAGCCAAGGCGGGGCGACGAGCTGAGGGGAAGAAGACGAGCCGATGCAAGAGATTCGGTCGTCTCAAAGGAAAATCTTAACGAGCAGGAACAATGAACCCATATGAATTATTACTCCGCACAAAGCGGCCGTGTTTTCGTCGTTTAATAAAACGCGGAATGAATTAAGCGAACGACCTTCTCTTCCCCCGTCATTTTTCTCCCCTTCTCGGTTTTTTTTAATAACGAGGTTTCCTTTGCCCCGCTCAAAGTATTCTGTAGTCGATATCGTTATTTAACCAATTACATAGCAACCGTTTCGAATCGTTATTGATCACTATTGATTAGCATCTAATTATTAGTATATCGCGTTTCCTTTCAAGAGTGAATCAAGTCATACAACCCATTGACGTGTATACGATAAATCCAAAGTCGGAAGAGTATTAAAACTAAGGATTAACCAGAGGCCGATACGTCCACTCGATATCGAATCAAACAAAATTTCCCAGTACAAATTCGTTCAGCAATAACATAACACCTACACAGGTATCATCGAATGTATTATTCAGAACTGCACGGGTGTTTTTCTCTTGTCTCTAGAAATAAAAATTTACAGTAGTCATCCATGAAACAATAATAAAATGGACAAACATCGGTAAAACGAAATAAGAAAAAATACATACGAGCGGATCGTGTTTGAAAACACTCGGGAACAACTGAGCTAACAGACTCGGCACGGGGAACAGGGCTACCTTTCACGTCGCGAAACTAAACAACGCGAACGATAGATTCGATTTGTTCGAGCGAGCGCGTTTTCCATTCTGCGCTACGGCGCGCGGTGCGCCCCTTCCGCTCGTCTTTTTTAACGGAGGACAAAGGCCCGTTTGTTGGGCCCCGGGGCTCACAAAGGGTTCCATTGCAGCCCGTGCGGCCGCATGAAACGAGGTCTGTAAGGCCTTCTTCTGACCGCCTCCACCTTCTTTCCACGAACGCCACGAGATTCCGCCACGCCGCTCCGTGCCGCGTCCGGTAATAAGAATTTGCTACATTGCCCGGGTCGCTCGTTGTTCCCGGCAACATTGTTAGCCCCGTCGCCGTGAAATCGCGAGAAATTATATTGTACACGTGGACGAACGACCATGTAGTCCGATATACAGTTGAATCATGTTAAGTGGAATTTCGAACTCCTATAATGAATCCTTTTATCGTAAAATGAGTTAAGTTCTTTTTATGATCTCACTTCCTTATAAGCGATAATTGTTCACTTGATTTTAAATCATATTGTTAAACTGAAGTGAACGGTGTACGTGCGTGGAATGACGGTAGGTTCCGTGGGTCGAGTTCAAGGGTTTTGAGGTGAAAACGGGATCGTGATTCCGAGCACAAACTGGATCGACGGGTTCCTGACTTGACGAAGCCCTCGACCTTCTGACCCTCCGGCTTATGGAAGAGGTCGAGATGAAGTTGCAGGATCGTATATCGTCGGTTCACTTGCAGTAGACCGAGCTATCCTCCAACCCCCCTGCTTCCTCTTCCCCTTCACCTGCTACTATTTTTCTCCGTCCGTCTGTGTACGTATCGATCCTCGCGAACCAGTTTATGCGGAAAGACCGCGTCAATTTCGAGACGTCCTATTCTACGGGTCTCAGGAAACTTCATTGCCATTGCCACGTCCCGTCGTCCTGACCTCGGTCAAGGTAAGGGTCAATAATCTGTGATGCGACCCCTTCTATCCGTTTTGTAGCAACGACAATCGAGTTGAACAAGTTGAAACTCGAGCGAACCGTTCCATCCCGGATAAAAGATTAAGGACACTAACAATGAAGTTTGCAAAGACAGAGGAGAATTAATGATCAATAACGGATATTAAAACATGAGCTAGTTTCTTCAGGGTAACTTCCGTCATCCTCAGACGAAAAAGGAACGCGATTGGGGAAGGGGGTAAAGAGAGAACGGGGAAGGCGACGCGGAATCTCTGTACAGAGGGGAACGATGTCTTTCGCGGGAGGTACCAGGAAAATTCGCAAGCTCCGAGGATCTCGGGGCCGCGCATTGGTCCACGGGTTCGGGAGAGTGCTCACCTCCGCAAGAAGGACGGACAGAGCCAAATTGAAATGTAATGTACACCCCACCCTTCCCATCTGCCTTCCCCCCCCCGATGGCCAATCCTCTTGCCCGTTCAACCTAGTGTTACTCCTCTCTTCGTTTTCCCTTCGAGGCTTGCGAGCACGTCGACCGAAGATGCCTCGTTGTGTTCCATACACGAGGGAAAGAGCCTCGAACGGAGCCTCCGTGTATAAGTGTGGGTGATTTACTGCTCCGGGCTTAATGGAGGCTGTTTACTGCTAATTAAAACGAAGCCCCGCTTTATACCATGTATACATATACGCTGTGTATACATGTATGTATATACGTATATAGCAGAGTGCTCCGAAAACCGATTCCATGGAATCGCGTCGCTTTTGTGCTACTGCGTAGCTTCGCTTGGGAATCGTTATCGATAGTTTGAAATTCTTCTCAGAATAGATGGAACACTGACTCATTGTAATAAATAGATCATTGAATTGTTTTAATTTATCAATCAATGATCTACACTTCTCTCGCCAATGCCCTGCCTCTTTAAAAGTAATTCTCTCCTAATGAAATATAGTCGGTATCTGTTACCCAACCGAATCGGAGCGGTTCCATAGGAACGTTCAGGTTCAGGAAGTTGTCTGAATTAATTTTCTGCTTTACTGTCAGGGGTTACGGGGAACACAGTGGAAGTAGATAACATCGGGAGCAATCCATTGTATCATCGTCGTATATATTTTTGAAATATTCCTAAAGTAACGTTTCGCGTCCCTCCGCCCCTCAGTTTAATTATTCATTCGATGGGTAGAGAAAGAAATCCGTTCCGAAATCGTCCATTGGCAATTATCCTCGAACGAAGCACCTGTTCGAACCAGACATCGAACTCTCGACGGAATGGTCCGTGCATCGAAGCCCGCTTCCGGTCGCCCCGTAAGAGGCAACGGCGGACCCGTGGCCCCCGCACGAAAAGAACAATTAACCGTTTCCTCCAATTACTGCAATCACCGATGTTGTTTTATTCATAAAGACTCGTTGGCATAAAATTCTCTCGTCCCGGAAAGGACATCCTACTGGCCGGAACACCTCGAAAAACGCGATACCGTCGCGACGTCGCGTCGTCGTCTGGGTTCGCTCGGCTCGCAACTAGCTACGGTAATTAGTACTCTCACCGAAGAGGTAAAGAACGGACGGATTCAAAGGGCTGACACGCGTCAATCCCTCTTCGTGCGCTGCCGCCGGTAGAACGGTAAACAATCACGTTCGAGAAGCAAAGTTACTCCAATTAGCAGCGGGGGTCCCGAATAATGTCAGGCTCTTCGTATTTACAACACGATAATCCTCTCACCCCCGTTTCTTCTCTTCCCTTCTCTTTTACCAGTGTTCTCTCTAGTCTGCGGATCCAATAAGACCGACTCTTCCTCCCCGTTGCATCGTCGTTCCGCCGATTCTCCTCAATTAAAACACGGACGGGCTTGCATACTGCGTACCGATATCAATTACTAGGCCAAGTGACACGATGCAGTCGTCATAAGAACGATTAAAAAGAAAAAACGTGAAAGGGTAAAAGCGCGAGACAAAGACGCGAACGGGAAAGCGAACAGATGTTGGGTAATGAGGGGGAAGGTTGTACGAATATAATGAGCACGTAATCACTGTTCTCTTCAAAGGTTTCAACGTTCGATGAT